TTTTAAGAGAGGAGTGGGTAAACAAGGGGGAGATAAAATGTCCATCATTTCCAGGCAATAAACCAGCAAATTCCTAACACTAATAAAAAATTCAGAGAATAAAAAATAATACAACTAACCAGAGAAACAACCAACCAAATCACAGGATTTAATAAACATCTCTAATAGTAACTCTAGCTGTAGATCACCTTAGCTCTCTGATGTGGGATTCCCCTCTGTATGACATAAATGTGTGTTGTTACCATTGGCTAATAAAGAAGCTGCTTTGGGCCTCTGGCAGGACGGAATAGAGCAAGGCAGGAATTCCAAGCAGAGATAGAGGAGAATAGAAGGTTGAGTCAAGAAGATGCCATGTAGCTGCCAAAGGAGAAAGACTGGAGCCGCCAGCCAGAACCATACAGGTAAACCATGAGCCTCATGGTAAAATATAAAATAATAAAAATGGTTTAACTTAAGATGTAAGAGTTAGTTAATAAAAATCCTAAGCTAATAGACCAAGCAATGTTGTAATTAATATAGTTTCTGTGTGATCCTTTGGGTCTTGGGCGGCCAGGAACAAATGAGCAGCCTCTGCCTACAGCTCTCCAATTAAAAGATGCAGAGCAAATGACTACAGAAAGAAATGAGGTCCAACCACCTGTTGTCTCTGAGAAGTGTGCATCACAGACAAGGGTTAAAGAATGAAAGCCAACATATAAGGCAAATGGAAGCCAAGTTGATGTGGCCGTTCTGATAACTGATAATATAGAACTCAAACAACTAAAGAGTTAACACCACCACTTCCTCAAATTGTTCCACAAAATGAAAATTGCATTGACTCTGTGAATTGTGTTGGGGAGTCTAGCCTTTTCACAGTACTGCTCCTGCCGGTCTCTAGGCATGGGAGATCTGTCCATCATCTACTGTCCTTTTCAGTCCCTTTTTATAGTGTCTTAAAGTTTTCCTTGTTAAAGGGCATTTGCCTCCTTGGTTAGGTTTTTCTTTATAGCTATATTATTTTTAAAATAGTATAAGTAAGATATCTTTCCCAGTATCTTCTCATTAAGTTTGTTATTGGTGTATATAAAACTACTGATTCTATGTAATGATTGTGTACCAGAAAATTTTATTGAAAGTGTTTATCATATTTAAATTTTTTCTGGTTGACTCTGAGGGGTATTTTAAGTGTAGAACCATGTCATTTACAAATAAGCAAAGCTAACTAACTTCTTACTTTCTAATTTTGATCTACTTTGTATCTCTTTCTTATTTTATTGCTCAAACAAAAACTTTTATTGCTGTATTCAATAAGAGTAGAAGAGTTGTCACCTTTGTCTTGATACAGATGTTGTTAGAAGTGATGCTCTTAATTCTCCCTATTTTGTAAAATGTCTATGCTTTTGTCCATATGTGAAACCTTTGTTATTTTGAAGTACGTTCCATCTATCCCTATTTTCTTAAACGCACTTTATCATAAAGCTGTTTTAGACTGGCAGATGCTTTTTCTACATCTCTTGTGATGATAATGTGATTTTTGACATTAAGTCTATTAATATTGTGTATTACATGTGTGATTTGCACATTGTGATTCTAAGTTTTTTTGTGTGTGTGATTATAAGTTTTAAAGGCCAGCTTGTCACAACTTCTAACCACCTCATTTGTGGGATTGTCTTGATTTCCTTAATTGATGAGGGAAGATCCACCCAAATAGACTACTGGCGGTCTAGATTAGAAAAGAAAGCAGGCACAGAAGAAGGAAGCTTGCCTTACCCTCTTGCAGCTGCTGCTGATTTCTTTTCTGATGTTAGGACAAGTTTCCCAGGCTTCCAACATGGACTGAGGACCAGGGGATCTCCAGGACCCCTCTGAGTTTCAGCTCCAGACTGGAACTGGCACCTAGTCTCTTAGACTGAGGAATTACTGAGTACTTAATCTCTTAGGTGTGAGGCGGTAGTTATTGAACTATTTAAACCGTATTGTGTAAGCTGATTTAGTGAATCATGTGTGTGTGTTCTTGTTCTATTATATTCTAATAGTTTCCTCTAGAGACTCCTAACTAATGTCTGCACATATTGAACCAACCTTGTCTCCCATAGATAAAAACAACTGTGAATACAATGTATCATTTTAATGTGATCTTGAATTCAGATTGCAACTATTTTATAGTCTTTTTGAGTCTATGTTCACTAGAAAATTGGTCTTTACCTCTTACTTGCTTGGTAAAAAAATATAAAAACAAAAATTTAATAGTAATATAGGACCATACCTTTTCTTACCAGTTTTTACATAAATAAAAAATTTTACTCCCTCTCAAAATTCCTATTTTATTTTCTATATATTTTACATCATGGTTTTCTATATTTTCAGAAAAATGTTTCCTAAGCTTAAGACACTCTATACAATAATTACATGAACCTAAAAAATCCCATTGGGATATTCCATCTTGTGATACAGTTGGGACTATGAACTGAAATATCTGATTGTTTATCCAGTATGAAGGTGTTAAATTTGGCCCATTGTAGAAGATGACAAAATTAAATTAATTACCAAATGATGTGGAAGTAAAATATCATCTCACCACAGCTGCATTTCTCTGTCAAAAGTCAAAGAACAAGCTAGATGTAATCTGGTGGTGGTCGTGTTTAGATACATATGAATCCACAGAGACTGTGACAGTACCCACAAGACCTGCACTGGTTCAAACCAGACAAAATCCTAGTGCGGGAAAGAGAACCTGAATACAAAGGCCCACCCCTAACCAAGGGGCTATTTGCAAAAGTAAAATTAGTTTTCCCCAATGGGGTGACACTGGATTTGTCAACTACACTCTAGTCAGGCCCTGTGACCTGGAGTTGTTGACCGACAACAAGTCAATTACATCTCGTGTGTGTGTGTGTGTGTGTGTGTGTGTGTGTGTGTGTGTGTTTGTGTATGCTCCTTGTTTTGGCCTTTTTGTCTTACTGTTTGTTTGTTTATTTTGATGCTTATTTCTGTGTTTTTTTTAAGAGAGAAGAAGAACATAAAATTAGGTAGGAAGGAGGTGGCAAGAATTTGGAGGTGTAAACATGATCAAAATAGTTGGTATGAAAAATTTTGAATTAAAAAGGAGAAAAAAGGTAGAATCTTTTTGAATGTTTTTGTTACTCATTTTACTGAATATGGCATGGTATACAGTGTATAAATTAGTATATTTTTATTTGATAAAATCAAATCAATTTCTTTTTTTGTTTTTATCATTGTTCACTTATTTATTTATTTATTCTCCCCTTTTTTATTACTTTATAAATAATACCAATCAAAATTCCCACTTTCTCCCCTCCTCCCACTTCCCTCCCACTCCCCCACACACCCTCCTCCCCACCCCTCTCCAGTCCTATAAGAGGGCAGAGTACCCTGCCTGGTGGGAAGTCCAAGGCCCTCCCTACTACATCTAGGCTTAGGAAGGTATGCATCCAAAGAGAATAAGATCCCAAAAGGCCAGTACATGCAGTAGAGACAAATCCCAGTGCCATTATCATTGGCACGTCAGTCTGTTCCAATTGTAAACCACATTCAGAGGGTCCAGTTTGATCCCATGCTCATTCATTCCCAGTCCAGCTGGAGTTGGTGAGCTCCCATTAACTCAGGCCCACTGTCTCAGTGGATGAACCAACCCCTCGTGGTCCTGACTTTCTTGCTCATATTCTCCCTCCTGCTCTTCAACTGGACCTTGGGAGCTCAGTCCAGTGAATAAATTTCTTTTTTATGTGAAGCTATGCTTACTTTAAAAAATAAAGTTTGAAAGCGTTACTTACAAAGAAAAGGATAAAAATATGGCAAACATTTAAGGAGTGCCATTCACATTTTTAAAATTTTTCATTATGCATGTGTGCACACACGTGCATGTGTGCACATGTATGTGCACGCTCGTGCTCACGTTTGTGCCATGATGTGTGAATCAATGCCAGAGAACAAATTGTAAGTTGCCATGTGGGACCATAGGATCAAACTCGGGCTTAACAAGAGCCTTTACCTGCTGAGTCACCGCAGAGGCCCCTCATTCCTTTACTCATAAGAAATACAGAACTGTTGCTAAAATTCCTAGTCACAAAGAGATGTAAAAAGTATATACACCTTCTCCTAAGATCCCAAGAGCAAACAAAAGCACAATTCTGCCAAAGTTCACTCTGTGGATGGTTTATTGAGCTTACTTACAGAGCATAGGTGAAGGGTGACTTACGGGGCTGTGGATGCTCCTCCTCCAATAGGCTGCATCTGAAAAGCATTATCAATCAGGGTTGAGGTCTTCTCCATAGTCCCTTGATAGAGACTCTTCCTCAGGACTATATACTCTAGCCTTTCCCTGAGTCCATGATGCGTACAACAGGTAGCAGGGAGCACCTGAAAACTCAGGTAGGGTCTTGTGACCCTCTCAACCCTCCGTGAGAGGACATAAACAGTAAACAATCTCAGATGGGATGAACTTTCATAATGGGGTGAGGTTCAATGTCACAAAATGGTAGTTGTTTGACTAGGAGGACTGTCATTCATGGCAAGTAATAAACCATAAAGTCTATCAAGTAAATATGACATGAGGGGCACCATCTTTTGATGAGAATTCCAAAATTGAAAGGACAAGTAAAATGATAGAAACTTAAAGAAGAAACTCCATTAAGACTAACAAAAGCTCAGATGTATACACTTAGGTCTGAGTGTGTTAACACTTACAATCTATGTCAAAATATCATAATCAAATATTTTTAAAAGATTTATTTATTATTATGTATACAGTGTTCTGTCTGCATGTCTGCCTGCAGGCCAGAAGAGGACAGCAGATCTCATTACACATGGTTGTGAGTCACCATGTGGTTGCCAGAAATTGAACTGAGGACCTTTGGAAGAACAGTCAGTGATCTTAACTTCTGAGTCATCTCTCCAGTCCTCACAATCAGATAGATTTTAAGTGAAACATAACTAGCAACAGCTGAGTGGTGTAAAAGTTAACTTTCTAATACAAGATAATTGACTACGGGTAAGAGAGGTTACATATCAGAAGAGAAGACGGGTGGCTGCCATTTTCTCCCTATCGTCTTCACAGCCTCTTTGATATCCTTATTTCTCAGTGTATAAATTACAGGGTTCAGCATGGGGGTGACAACACTATACAGCACTGAGATCAACCTGTCTTTCTCTAGCGAGTAAGATGAGATGGGCCGCACGTATGTGAAGATGGCACTGCCGTAATAGAGAAGAACAATGATCAAATGGGAGGCACAGGTGGAAAAGGCTTTGTGCCTCCCCTCAGAGGACTGGATCCTCAGGATGTTGGAGATGATGGAAAGGTAGGAAAGGATGATGCCGAGGAAAGGAGTCCAACCTATGAAGATCCCAATGGATAGCAAAGCCAGTTCATTGATGGACGTATCCCCACAAGACAAGATCAGCAAAGGAGGTATGTCACAGAAGAAATAATTGATCTGATTGTTACCACAGAAGGGCAAGTGGAAGGTCAGAACTGTGTGCACCACTGAGTTGAGAAATCCACCTGTCCAGCATGAAGCTGCTAGCCAGCTGCACAGGGCCTTGTCCATGATAAATGAATACCTTAAGGGCTTGCAGATAGCAATGTATCGATCGTATGCCATTGCTGCCAGGAGGAGACACTCTGAGCCTACAAAGAAAATGAAGGCAAAAAGTTGGACCACACAGCCTCCATAGGAAATTGTTTTCTTCTCTGACAAAAGATGCACCATCATCTGGGGGACATTAGTAGTGGTGTAGCAGATGTCAATAAAGGCAAGGTTTCGCAGAAAATAATACATGGGTGTATGTAGGTGGGAATCAGCCATGGTCACCAAGATGATAAAAATGTTCCCTCCTAAAGTGCATATGTAAGTCAGAAAGAAGACGGTGAAGAGTAAAAACTGCCATTTATTCAGGTTGGAGAAACCCAAGATGATGAATTCAGATGGAGCTGTTTGATTCTTTCCTTCCATGATGTCAGCTGTTTTCTCTTTGTGAATTTAACAAACAGATGCATGGATAATAGTCTGCAAACCAAGAAAACAAGTGTTGTTACCAATAATGTCACCACCAACTGGATACCAAACGGCAAGTGGAACATTTCTTTGCATGGCACAATCCATACCTGCCACTCAAGACATATGTACATACTCCCAATGTTTCACCCAAGAAGCAGATCCCTGTGAACTGCTGGGCCAGAGAGATGGCTCAGCAAGTGAAGGAGCTTACAGAGAAAGCTGAGGACTTGAGTTCAGGCTTCAGAATCCATGTGGTAAAAAGAAAGGGCAAACTCCCTCAAGTTGTCCTCTGACTACACACACACACACACACACACACACGATAAATAAACAAACAAGCAAATAACTAAATAAAGATTTGCATTTTCATACTGTGATATCTCTTATCTCCAGAATAAATGAATTCATTCTGCAACAGAAAAAATACCCAAATTCTATTCTCTGATACATATATTATTCCATTCCTTATTATTGCCTCTGCTTTCAATTATTTTAAAATGGTTTTGTACTTCTACAGAAAAATTAAGCCAAGTCTCTAGGTTCATGTTTTCTGTTCATTTTATTTAGCAAACTTGTTTTAATAACTTTATGTTTGCCACATATGGGCATGTTTACTCAAGATGACAAATAAGACAACATTTCATCATGCTCTAGAATGATATATTAAAACTTATCTTGTATAAAATAATTTCATAATACCTAGTGATTATAATCATTGCTTTAAAGGAGAACAGTAGAGGAGATGGCCTGGTTTGGAGAAAAAGCTCCCAGGAAAAAGAATTCATTTGAGTCTTATGAATAAATAGGAATTGAATAAATCAGGAAAGCTGGGTGTAGAAATCTCTTCACACAAACAGATGGACATATACAAAGGCTCCAGTTACAGGGAAAGCATGAATCTTTGGTGGAGGCAAAGATGCTGCTGTGCTTCAGGGAGCAATGGAAAAAAGACATCTCTGTGAAAGAAGGATCTGTGAGCAATAGGAAAACATTCAAGGCATGAGATAACTGTATTCTGGGAAAGGTAAGTGTGCAGAGAATGAAATGAAGGGAACAGAAGCCAATAGTGAGTCCATGAGAAGGGTCACAAAACTTCACACTAGAGAGCTGGAACAGAAAGAAATGACAGAACGGGTTACATCAGGGGATGCAATCTTTAAAATTCAAATAAGGAAGAAAAACAGGTTTAGGATAATAACTGACCTATTTAAGTACTTTTAAAAAGAGCCATGTGATGCGTCTTATGGCATCTTGTTCTAACAAACACACACACACAAACTGACCAAGCAAAAAAGTAAATATAAAATGGATATGCCAAGTTAAAAGAAAAAATGAATAAATGATGGGGATTAAATAATTTTCTTAAAATGATACAGATAGAAATGGTAATATTGAGAGGTTCATTTCAGTGCGTTTGAAGCCATAGCGAGTGTACCATGCTCCTGGTTTAACGAACGGTCGGTGGAATTTCTCACTGAAACAAAGACAGCAGGAAGCAGTCTAGAGCTGGGGTAGATCATGCTTCAGGTATGGCCATGTTAAACTGGAGGCATCACTGAGATAGCCAAGAAAATATTTAAGAGAATTGGTACTTGAAATTCAGAAGACATGTATGTACTGGAGAGATAAATTGTACCACACATCAACATGCATGCCAATGGAGAGGCTACGTAAAGATAGAAAGGAACACGGAGATGAATATTTGTTGGAGACTCAATTAATACGCCACACTGATTAACTAAACAAAAGGAATGACAAGGAAAAAAACTAATAGAAGAAATCCAGGGAAGCACTGAGTCCAAGTTGAAGGATAAAGCCTGGTGCACAGAAGCTGTTTGTAAATACAGGAAAAGCCCTAGTTATCCCACTCGACCGACTGTCCCTTCACGGACATCAGCAATCTACCTACAGGTGAGTGACAGCAAGCAGCTGTCACAGCTCCATCTCCCGCTTCCATGTCTGCCTCACACTCAAGAACAGACTGCTTTCTCCAAGCAAGGCCCGGAGGCACATGTTTGACACCTAGGATCGCACCAAATCTCCTGTACCCTGAGATCTTCTCCCCTCTCCTCCTTTGTTCCAGCTCATCAGTAGGCTCAGGTGGTAAAATAGTTGGATAGAATAACTGAAACCATGAATGTTTCTCTCTAGGGTTCTTGCCTTGAAACAAGAATACTTTTTTCCCAGGGCAGGCTTCAAAAGTTTAGTATTCATAGACACTCAACCTGTATGTTTATTCTGACCCTCTTTCAGTCTGCCAGCCTTTATTTGTTCAAACCTCAGTTTAAATGCCACTTTCTCTTCAGTTACAAAGAATGTTTCTCCCATCCTGGAGACTCTAGGGACCTTTGTTTCATTATCACAAACAAAACTTAAATATAATTCGTTTATTTTTATGACTTTTATCACCTAATCTGGTCATAAATCTTTTCAGAATAGATAGCCTGTCTTATGTATTTCATAATAGAATAATGAACGTATGTGATAAAACATTTAACAATTGCCCAAACCTGTTGGAATGTCATATCCTGGTAAATTTTCCAAAAGGAAAGAAAGGAAACAAGGAAGAGAAGGAGGGAGGAAGGAAGAAAGGGAAGAGGAAGGAGACAAGGAAGGATGGAAGGAAACAAGGAAGGAAAAGAGGGACGGAGAGGGGAGTAAGGAGGAGATTTACTTCTCTTTTACATGGTCAGAATGCTGAAGCACTTAGGGAAAATCCCAAACAAGCATATCACTATTTTCATAGAAATCAGAGTTAAGAAATTTATTATTATAAAGAAATGCTAAGGTTGCACAGTTAATAAATTCACACTAAAACCAGAAAAGCAATCTTTCCATTTCCAAAAAGAACAAAATCCTGGAAGTGGTCCCAAATGAAGTAGGGACCAAGAATGGTTCTAAACACCCATGGGGAAAGTTTCTCAAAATATTCACGTGGAAAAGTGCCTCTCTGTGTGGTAACTTTCAGTTCTAAAGTATCTAGTGCCTCTTTTTATAGAGTGCACTCGAGAAAACAACCTTAGAAATGGAGACTCTTTCTACAGCACAGACCACCTAAACTATATCTTCTGCAGAGCACTAGGGGGAGCGTGGATCATCCACGACTTGTAACTGAAAGCACATGAAAAGCATGTAAAATTGTCATACAAGAGCTTGATAATAAAGAAGAGACAGATGCAACAGTATCTATCGGATGATTCTTGTGAGACACCCAAAGTGTCTTCCTGACACTTCTGTGCAATCCAGTCAGCACTTTAGTGTTCTTTACTGGGTAAGGAATCAGCAGGCCAGCAAGGACCCATAACATAGAGATTAACCAACATTAAAGAATCTCCCTAGTTTGTGCACTCAGCCCTCTCCAGGTCCTCACATCCTGGGACAGAATGTTTGGACTCTTCACCTTGGCAGCCCTCTGGTGTCTTTCATCAAAAGATCAAGGCCAAAAAGTCTCTCTCTGGGAGTAATGGAGTTATTGCTAAGCAAATATAAACTACTCACTCAGCTGTGATCAAGAGTATTCAGCAGGAATCACCATGCAGACGCGAGAGCTGGTATGGAACTGCTTTTAAGAGGTGCAGAGTAATATCCCTAGAGAGTCTTAGAGTGCCAAGGGCAGCCTCAGTCTCTGCAGGCCAGTTCATAGGACAGCACCCTCCAGACACAAGAACGCCCACACCCTGGTTTGGTTTGTTTTTTTCCTGTTTTCTTCCACAGGATGTGACAGTTGTCTTATGTTAAACTGAACTGCACAGAATTTCTTTCAGTTTCACTCTTACCTACTGTGACTTCAAGAACTCCTGACTTCTCTTCTTGAAACTGACTGTGCCCAGTGCCTGTCTCTTGTGAGAAGTGAGAAAACCAGGCTGGCACTGAGCACTGATCCCTTTCTCACACTTCCCTTTTTTCTTCCCCAGTTGCCACTCTGAAGAAATTTTAACATTCTCTGAGTGCAAATTCCTTATTGAAAATAAAGATGTCAATGTGAGTCTGCTTTATATTTAAAGTGTGGTTAAAGGATCCATTTACAGCAAAGATATATAAAATTTAACATAGTGCCCAGATCTTTTATGTCTCCTCATCCAATGCTGAGCTCAGTGTTCCAGTTTTATACCCCTAAAATATATGCAAAAAAATCTTCTATTTTATTCACCCTGGCTTTGAACATTTGTTCCCACTGGGTGTGTAAATTGGGGGACCTTGGAGGGGTCGAAAATTTGCCTAGCCCATGGGCTGCAAAACTCAGAGGTAAGAAGCAGTAGTTCTTGGTTTGCAAAACAAGAGAAACTTGTAAAGAAAAGGCAGTCCTGACACTAGCATGCTCTGGACCAACTACTTCAGCCCTCCAACAGCATCCACTGTATGTGAGGACAGTCCAGAGGTGACCCTTTTCTTTCTTTTGGTCTCCTCCATTGACCCTATTTTTACCCTTTTTAAAATTAATGTTTTATGGTAACATGGGGAATGATTTACGCAGTCCTACATTTTAAGACATGTGTGTCACATTTGTCCCACTTTATCATCCCCCCTATGCTCCCTTCCCTCATACTCAGACCCTGCTGATCTACTTTCTCTCCACAACAGTCCCATCTTCCATATTTATGTCACATGTAATCCATTACCAAATTTCCCCTCTTTTCTCCTTTCTTTCCCCCTTCTTTCTCCCTTCTTTAAGAAAATGTTCTCCCTCATGGTCTTATTTCTAGCTTCAGGACCCATGTGTATCTATGGCTATGAAATACATACATACATACATATATATACATACATGCATAAACATACACACAAAATATGGACAGAAATTATGCATATGAGACAAAACATTTTTTTCTGAGTCTGTCTGATTTTACTTAATGTTTTCTGGTTATAACCACATTTCTACAAATGCTGTGATTTCGTTTCTTTTTCAAGTAAAAAGCCCAACGTGTATATGTACACACTACATTGCTCATTCATCTGTTGATGAAATCTAAGCTGTTTCTATTTCATGGCTGTTCTTTTGCTCAAGTGTAGGTAAAAGACAAGCAAACAAAAACATGGGAGTATCTGGAATGCTACCTTAAATTCTTCTGACATATACCTAAGAAATATATGTCTGGGTCATATAGTAATTTTATTTTTGTTTTTTTTTTTGAGAAAGTTCTTCATAATAATTTCCATAGTGTCTGCACCAGTTACTTTACCACCAGCAGCAACTGTTGTCATATGTTTTATGATAATCCTTCTGAATGGGACAAAATGGAATCTCTAAACAATTCTAACTGGTAATTTCCCAGGATACAGATGTGAAGTATTATTTCAAGTATTGTTGGCCACTTCACTTTTATTTGTTCTTTTAAGAACTTTCTGTTCAGTTCACTAACTTATTTACTGGTTGCACAATTCGCAGAGGGTGGTATTTAACTTTGCAGTTCCTTATATATGCTATGTATCATTCTCTATCTAATATAGAGTTAGCAAAGGTTTTCTATTTTATAGGCTGTTTCTTCATTCTGTGAGTTTCTATTCTATACTGAAACTCTTATTTCATACAATCTCATTCATCAATCTTTGTTATTTTTTTCTATACACTACAGACTTTTTCAGAAAATTTGAAGATTTTTTTCCTGATGTTGTCCTCTAACAGATTCAAAGTTTAAGTGTTACAACATTTTGTTTGTGATTTAACACATAAAGCTTGCCTGAAGATCAGAGTGCGGAGCTAGCCACACTAGTTAGCCATAGAGGCCAGGCAGTGGTGCCACACACCTTCAATCCCAGCACTTGGAGACAGATGAATCTCTGTGAATTCAAGGTCACCCTGGGCTGCTAATCAGTCTAAAAGAGAAACAGAACCTAGTGAGGGCTTACACCTTTAATCCCAGGACTAGAGAGGTGGAGACAGAAAGGGATATGGCTGGATGGAGAGAGGAATATAAGGCAGGAGTATACAGTAGCTCAGGATTCGGTCTGCGGATTCGTACAGACAGGATCGTCCTTTTGATCTGAAGTAGAGGTAAGAACTAGTGGCTGGCTGCTCTATTTCTCTGATAGTTCAACTTTCACCCTGGTAACTGACTCCAGGTTTTACTATTAAGATCAATTAGAATTCATGCTACATTTCAGATCTTACATGAAGATCATTGTTCCATTCTGAAATGATTTCCATCAAGAATGTGGGGTACAAATTTAGTAGGTTTTATGTGAAGAAATCCAATATTCTATACTTCATATGTTAAAATGCTTTCTTGTAGCAGAACGAGTGTTAGTCACAATTTCTTATGGATAATGGTCAGGAAAAAGATAAACAAAGAATATTAGATTCAGAGTTCTTCTTTTGGAAAAGGGGGGAGTGCTGTGGGACAATGATCTTGTCCCCTATAAAGATTTGTCACTTGTATTGGTTTAATAAAATGCTGATTGGCCAGTAGCCAGGGAGGAAGTATAGGTGTGGCAACCAGAATAGGAGAATTCTGGGAAGAGGAAAGGCTCAATCTGCAGTCCTCACCCAGACACAGAGGACGCAAGATGAGAATGCCTCATGGGTAAAGGTGCCAAGCCACATGGCTAACACAGACAAGAATTATGGGTTAATGAAAGATGTAAGAGTTAATTAGTAAGAAGCCTGAGCTAATAGGTCAACCAGTTTATAATTAATGTAGGCCTCTGTGTGTTTCTTTGGGACTGAACACCTGAGGGATTGGATGAGACAGAAACCTCTGTCAACACTTTCTCCAAGATATATTTTATATATTTTATACCTTTGTAAAGAATTATATAACTTCAATTCTATAATTCTGTATGGGTATATTTCTGGGTCCTCTGTTCTATTTCACTGTTCCAAATGTGGTCTTTGCTAGTTCCATGCTGTGTTTGTAATGATGGTTCTATAATATAATTTGAGATCAAGTGTAATAATGCTCCCAGAATTATCTTTCTGCTTAGAATTCCGTTGGATACCTGAGTCTTCAGTGTTTCCATATGGACCTTATAGTTTGGTTAAAAAAACATCATTACAATTTTGGTAATATATTCATTTTACTACATTAATTCTGCCAACCTATGAGCATTCTATTTCCTAGTGTCTCCTTCAGTTTCTTAAATTGTATCTTAAATTTTCCCTTGCAAAGGTCTTTCCCTTTCTTCATTAGGTTCACTCTTAACATGCTTCAACTTTAGGAAACAAGTATAAATGAGATCCTCTCTGTGATTCATTTGTCAGCAAGTTCATTTGTATTCTGTTGCTTTGCTTAAAGCATTTATAAGAGTGTTCTGGAAAAGTCATTAGGATATTTTATGCATAGGGTCATGTCATCTACAAATTAGTATAATTAGACTTCTTTTCCTATTTGCAGCCCCTTCTTTTCTCCTGCCTTATTGACCTAGCTACAATCTCAAGCTCTATGTTGAATAAACAGAGGGTGACACCTTGTCTTGTCCTTGATTTTAAAGAAAATGCTTTACTTTTTTCTCATTTAGTATAATGTTGGCTATATGTTTGTCATATATAACCTTTAATATAGCTTATTTTTACAGGGGCAGGAAGGGAAACGTGGAGTTACTTTCCCTCTGAAGACTTAACAGGTTGGATCAGAAAGGGTTTTTGGAAAAATTTTTTCTGCTTTCCTACCAGGTGCCTTGTCTGATGCAGGTGACAGATTATTATTATTGGGTTGCATGCTTGCCAGCTTCTCCTTCAGCACAGAGATAATTTCACATGTCGCTCTCCCCCTTCTCCCATGACTCACCCACTCTCCACCCCCACATACTAACAGGAACATGCCATTAAGTGTGTGGCATGGGGAATTCCCCAACCGTGGCAAGTTTCCACCAAATGTTTTCTAAGACTCCGAGAGTACAGAAAGCAATGAAACAGAGGTAATCTCTCCTGGTTCACAGGTGTCAGCACTGACTTTGCCTGCCTGCTGCTGCCAGCATCACTCTTCAAATACAGCCAATAGTTCCCCCCCCCCACCCACAGGGGTATCACAGCCTTTCCCACATGGCCGCCATCTCTAGCTTCAACTGCAGCAATGTGTACTCCCCCTGACTTGTGTCTGTGAATCTGTGTCCGAATCAGTGGACACAACGCTTCTTGGGGGAGGGGGAGCAGTGCTCACTTGCTTATTGGCTGAAGAGGTAGGCATTTATGGTTTCAAGACATAAAAATGCATGGGCTTCTGCTCTTGATGGCCAAAAGGCTTGACTTTATAATCTTTGAAAATGATTCCCATCAGGCTACCAGTGATCATGCTAGAAGTTGAAGAAGGTCCCATTGCCAGTGTCTGTTTGCTGCCCATATCTTAAATCATAATTTTGCAGCGTCCCAAATGTTGTACCTGTGAAGTTTAGCAACATTTTCCCTTTCCCTTTCACTCAAGTCCTTCCAAGGGGTGCCCTTCCCTTTCTCTGTTGTTAATGCCAGGTGTCTGGTGTGAGGGTAGACTATTTTCTATTACAGATCTAAGGGTCAGTGTGTCTGGATTTCACTTCCTTTCTGTCTCCTTTTCACTGTTTCCTTCCCCCCCCCCATACATTTCCACACTATTCATGCACACCTCCCATTCTGTCTCAGACTCTAGGTGTCTGTGAACTACCATCCTTGCTGGATAGATTCACATGGTAGATTTCAGACTCTGCATTGCAAGCATCTTTGAA